CTATTTTCAACCCCTGCCCTTGCTGGTTTTAATTTCACAATTTTAAAGAGAATCCTGGAGAACAAGCTTGTAGAGCCCTCGTAAGAAAAGTCACATTTTAGGTTGCTTTTTTCTTTAGGCGGATACAAAACCCCATATTACCTATTCTTTTTTTCACAAAAGAAGGGGGACAATTAGAACAGCTGCCTGGTGATTCTGGTCACAGATTAGCTTTTACATGAGTCCCCAGGATATTGGGGTTGTACCTATCTCCAGGAATGAAAGCACTGCTGAGAGCTTTGGGGATTCTATTCTTTTTGGTGAGCCTGAGGCTATGGCTATGCAATGCCCACTATATATATATATATGTGTGTGTGTGTGTGTGTGTGTAGATAGATAGCCACACCCACACATATATATGTGTGTATAGATAGATAGATACAAAGAAGAAGGAAAGAGAGAGAGGAGAGAGAGAGAGAGAGAGACAGGGGAAGGTGGGGGAGAGAGAAAGAAAGAAAAGGAGCCTAAAAGCAAACAAAAAACTAGTCAGTTAAATCTATCCAGTAGAAAGACAAAGTGTTCATTTGCAGTCAAGTACAACTATCGGAGAATGGCCTAATTCTAGTTTTGGAAAGTTCTGTTGTCTATTAAAGAATCCATAGGCCCAGCTCTGTTCTTCCTCATATCACAGAAGCGAAAGACTCACAGTTCTTAGTAATAACTCCATGTGTTCACAGTGCCATGAAGCCACATACCACTTTATGGAGTCTTTTGCTTATGGTGTAGTGATCAAGTGTATACGCTTTGAAATCTAATAGTTACAGGTTTGAATCTAATTCTGCTACTTTCAGCTTTGTGATTTGGGGTGAGTCTCTTAATTCTCTGAGCTTAGCTGTCAAATGGAAATACTAGCATGTGCCTTGTAGAGCCCTTGGGAGTATTACATAACAAATGTAGCACTGCTGATAGAGTGCCTGGCGCTTAGTAGGCATTCAAACATGAGCTTCCTTTCGTCTTCCTTCTGTGCCTCTGCCCCTAACCTTACCCCCGTCTCTACGATTCAGGCTTTTTCATCAGAAACCCTAAGCAGAGACCAGGTGTGAACAATGAGACAGTTCGAATGGAACCAGGTGTTACTGAGTGAGATCTTCATTCATTTTGCTCCCAGGTTCTGGCTGTTTTGTTTTGTTTTGTTTCTTTTTCCCTACTCATGGCAGGCTTAAACATTTGCTCTGAAATTTTGCCACCACCTGGGCTTCCCGCTGACAATTTCCGTTTGAGCTTTTGAGAATGCCACAGACAGTGAATGGATGGAGAGGTCTCACTCTAGGGAAGGCGCAAAGAAAGAACATGCGGTAACCTTAAGTCGGGGGAGAAGAAACAGAAATGTTTTTTGGAGGGGTGGATGAAAACATTGTCAGGGCTCAGGGAAACATGGTAAGTCTCTCTGTAACAAACATTCATTGAGCACCTACTGGATACAAGCTCAGCTTTCTAATGAGATGCCCCCAAAATAGGAGGTCGGATTCCTGCCTTTGTGTGCTTATCGTCTAAACAGACATCCAGAGACTGAAAAAGGTCAACAGCAGCTGAGTTTTCGGCATCAATCACACAGCTCCTAAAAGGTTTCAGACGGAGGGAGCAACTGGATGTGTTTAATCAAGCAAGGCTTCCTGAAAGAGGCAAGTTTTGAGCCAGTTTGAGGGAGATGAGGATTATGGGTGGAAGGAGAGGAATTCAGGGTCTAGAACTGCAGATGCCAAGGCTCAGTGTTAAGCGGTCATTCCAGTGGGTGACAAGGCGCCCTCATTCTCAAGTGTTGAGTGAATCTCCCTTCATTGGAGGCTCTCTTTCAGGGGCCCTGCAGGGACCCAGGCAGGGGGGTGGGGCTACAAGTGGTCTAACCTCATTGGATCGGAGGACTCCGAAGAACGGGTAGAGGAAGGCCGGCACCAGGGCTGCAGCTCCCAGAGGCACTGCCTCTGACACCCAGTACACAGCAGTCACGATCAGCACGTAAGCACACGAGGCCTCCTGCGAGGGAAGGAAAGGGGCAGTCATTCACCGGAATAGCAGGAATAGTCACTGCCACTGAGTGTCCGGATGCAACCCTGACATCGAAGCAGCAGGTACTCGGACTCTAATGCAGGTGCAAGCATACAGCCCTGGGACGAAAGCCGGACTGGCAAGCGAGCATGGTGAATACATGGTGAGTCCATCCTTTGGTGGGTGACATTCTGGCTGCTCCTTGGGGGACCGATGCCTGGCCTGTGGTTTGCACTAGTGTGTAGCCAGGCAGCTCTGAGGGTTCTGGAAATTGCCAAGGTGGGGATTGAACTTAACTGCAGTGACCAGACCCATGATTACAAAACCATACAAGTGGAGTTCAAAGCTTTAACTTGAACTGGGATGTAACTGGTGTAAAGTTGACTGGGTAGTAGAAGTTCTTGGGGTAGTTGGAGATAGGAATCACTGCGTGCGGTTGGGACTGGGGCTCACACTTGTAATCCCAGCACTTTGGGAGGCCAAGGTGGGAGGATCACTTGAGCCCAGGAGTTTGAGACCAGCCTGGGCAATATACAGCAAGACCCCATCTCTAAAAAATAAAAGATAAATTAACCAGGTGTGGTGGCACAGGCCTGTAGTCCCGGCTACTTGGGAGGCTGAGGCCGGAGGATCACTTGAGCCCAGGGGCTTTAGGCTACATGCAGTGAGCTATGGTCATGTGCCACTGCACTCCAGCCTGGGACTACAGGACTACAGAGTGCGATGCTGTCTCCGGGAAAAAAAGAAAGAAAGAAAAAAAAAAAGGACAGTTAGTTCACATGTAAGCTCTGAGATCAGCCATCCTGAATTTGACTCATGTGCCTAAGATATGAAGATATGTGGCATTGGTGTGTGCCTGACTGAAGAGAAGTGGATCAGTAAGAAGTGAGATTTACAAACAATGCAAAAGGTGTTTTCTGGACTGTGTTCTTGCAGCCCTGGGCATCTTGGGTGTGTCTCAAGAATATCCCAGGGAGATGAGCAAGGCTTGGAATCTGGACCCCCTCTCCAGCCTCGTCCCAAATGGAGTAGCTTTGTTCTCATTTGATTCAGATACAAACATTACATGTGACATTTCATTTGGAAAAAAAAAAAAAAAGGCTTTACTGCTTTAAAAATGAATAAACAAAGTGAAATCCCCCTGTTTTAGACTATTTGCTGAAAGAACTTGATTCAGTAGTAAATTTTAATCAAATAAATTGTTAGGCAAGAACTGGTTGACCATTCCCCCTTCAATTTTGGATCTGAGGTTCTATCATGTTTTGCGTCTAGAGACTGATCCTTCACCCAAAGGTCTCTGTACGAGTTAATAAGGAGCTCCCTTCCCTGGGAGAGGGAAGGGAGGACTGAGGAGGAAGGCAGCGATCCTGAGCATGGGACTCTCATTTTGGATGAAGAAGCATCAGCTCCTAACTCAGTGTTTCTCAGCCTTGGCACTACTGACATTTAGGGCCACATAGTTTCTTGTTGCAGGGGGCTGTCCTGTGCACTGTAAAGGAGCAGCATCCTTGGTCTCTACCCACTAAATGCCAGTAGCACTTCCTCCATTGTGACAACCAAAAAACCGTCTCTAGACATTGCCAAATGTCCCTGGGGGGGTAAAATGATCCCTGATTGAGAGCCACCACCCTAACCAGGGTCTGGTTCTCATTGCTCTTGGACTCCATTCTACCTGCCTGACCCCATGGAAACATCCGTCTTCAAAGACTAAAGACAGCCATCTATCTGGAAGGGGAGGCCTGGAAATTCACCGACATTTTCCATAGCCCACTCACTTTGCTGGCTGGACAACCCAGGGGTGCACAGGGTAATGAAGTACAACATTCTTATCAAAAGCCAGCCCTCCAGCAGCTTACCCTCTAGTCATGCTGATGGCCCTGAATTGCAGGTTACCGGCTTGCTCTAGAGGAGAGGCTACAGTTCAAGGGCCTTGTTAATGGGAACATCACCAAGCTCCATGACTCAGAAGACCATTTATAGAAAACCCAAGTTGGCTGTGGGCACCTCAATTTTCACATAGTTCTAAACCACCAGGACTCGTGTCTGACTTGCCCTGAGGCTGGCTGCTGATCAAGGAACCCGACAAATCTTGCTGTTTATCGCCCCTTGAGTTCAGAACACGCGTCCTCAAACTCTTGCATAAAAGTTACAAAAGGTCACTGTATCAGTGAGGGGCAGCAGGAGTGATTAAATCAGCTGGGCTGGCAAGGACCTTTGCTCTCCTGATATTCGTGGATTATGGGATTGGGGTTTGAGAAATGGGAACTGGGCCCAATGATTGTTGACTGTAGCTCCCCACTGAGATATTCTCTGGGGCCAAAAGATCAGAGGGAAGATAAAACTTTTGGAAGTGCTGATAAGACAACAGAACCAATGGTGGGAAAAAAAAAAGGCTCCACTTGGAAACGAATTCAGTTTAGAGAAATACCTTGTTTGCTATAGAAATAAAACTACCTAAAGGAGTTCAAGCCCATGTGTTCTCGTCTCTTTTCTGGGAAAGAGACAGAGTGGCAGATCTTAATTCCAGTAGAAGAGAAAGATTTGAGAGACAAAATGTCTGCCCCTCACTGGGGACCCCTTACTTCTTCCTGGAACCCTTAGTCTTTCTTGATCTGGTCATTACAGGGCTACAAGTTATAAGTTAAGGGGAAGGAGGTGGGGAGAGAAGGTGGGGAGAAAGGGAAAGGAGAAAGAGGAAAGGAGCCTGTAATCCCAGCACTTTGGGAGGCTGAGGTGGGTGGATCACTTGAGGTCAGGAGTTCGAGACCAGCCTGGCCAACATGGCGAAACCCTGCCTCTACTAAAAATACAAAAAAATTAGCCAGATGTGGTGGCACATGCCTGTAATCCTAGCTACTCAGGAGGCTGAGGCAGGAGAATGCCTTGAACCCGGGAGGCAGAGGTTGCAGTGAGCCAAGATTGTGCCACTGCACTCCAGAGCCTGGGTGACAGAGTGAGACTCTGTCTCTAAAAAAAAAAAAAAAAAGAAGAAGAAGAAGAAGAGGAGAGAGAGAGAGAGAGAAAGAGAGAGAGGATTTTCCCTCTGCCGGGCAACTTTAGTTTTGAATTAGGAGAATTTGGGTAAAATAAGGCAAACATTTTGGTTGTAAACATTATTAGACATGCGACTATGTTACTGGAGGAAGTAAGTCATCAGGCCACCTTCGCCCAGCAGTAGTAAGGACAGGATTGATTACTATCATTTTTTACCTGGATTTTCCTTAGAGTAGAAGAATGGACAAGAGACACCTTTAGAAAGTCTTTCCATATAGTTTCCACTTATTTCACCTATGGAATCTCCATAAACTTCATTTTTCCCCTTCTAAACCTTCCCAAAATTCAGGAGGTAAGCCTGTATTCAGACAACCAAAAATACTACAAAGTTTGCTTACAAGGAGTCCCATGTCCTCGGTGCCTATCCCATGTCTAGCAGGTGGCTCAGTTCACGTGGGCTGAACTGCACTGGACTTCTCTGCTGGCTGTCAGGTCTCGCTCATCTGGAGAGAATATTCTGCAACCCCCAGGCTCTTTACCAACGCCACTGGTTCCTTATAAACAGGTGTGTGGGGGTTGGGGATTGGTGAGTATTCAGACAGTGTCTTCAAGGGACAGTGCTATCTACTATTCTTTGGTTTCTGTTTACAAGTAAAGGAAAGAGTTCGAAAGTGGCATTTCCCTATGTAGGACGTTTCCTAGTCAGCTACTAACTTAGGCACGGAACTGCTCGTTTTCCACGCAGTTTGACCACTCCAGTGATATCCCACTCCAACTTCACAGGAAGGAGGTTGAAGTCTGTTATCTGTTACCATGAACAGTCGTTAAAAGGGGGCGTTTAAAAGGGGGCGCCTTTGAAAAAAATTTAGCTTGGGTGGTTGAGATGCAACTTTTATCCCACTGGGGTCACTGAGGAAGGGCTTAGTTATGGATGCCCTCTCTTGTACCCTCTTCTTCTATAACATGATAAATAGTGTCTGGACCTCTGTTTTAGAGAGCTGGGCGAGAAAAAGGGGGAAGGTCATTTTGACTCCTCCTAAAATGTAGCTGAGGCTTGTCGCTTAGAAGAACCATCAAAACCACAGGCCAGGAGCTCCTGCCCAGGTACTGCGTCACTGCTCTCAACTCCAGCCCAGAACAAGCACATCCATTTGGAATTTTAAGGGTTCAATATCAGAATCTAAAACTTTGATGCAGGCCAGGCATGGTAGCTCACACCTGTAATCTCAACCTTGTGGGAGGATCGCTTCAGACCACGAGTTTGAGACCAGCCTGGGCAACATAGTGAAACCTCCATTTCTACAAAAAAAATTAAAAAAAAAATTTTTTTTTAATTAGCTGCATGTGGTGGTGCTTGCTTGCCTGTAGTCCCAGCTACTCTGGAGGCTGAGGCACGAGGATTGCTTAACCCCAGGAGCTCTGCAGTGAGCTATGATTGTGCCACCGCACCCCAGACTGGGTGACAGAGTGAGACTCTGCGTCTACAAAAAAAAAGTTTGATGAAAGGGGTGACAGATGGATGAAAGACACTCTATCTGCTGGGCACCTAGTCTGTGCCTTCTGTGGGCTGTGGCCGAGGTCCCCAAAGGTAGGGCTGACTCAACCAGGAGATATGAGAGGTTCCTGATACTGCTTGGGAGAGGAGGCTAATATGTCCCTTGGTAACAGTCCCTTATATCAACCTGACATTGAGAAAAAACAAAAACAAGAAAAGACACAACAAGAAAAAAAATCAGACCTATTTGGACAAAGCAGAAAACTGACTGGGGAACAGTCCAGGAAAAACGTCAGCAGCAATCACTGTCTGCTAATCCCAGCCCATTTTTAATTGGCATCTCCCTGGCACTCTGGAGTATTTATTCTATGAAAGATTTAAGCCAGTTTGTTTTTGAGACGAGCCATCCTAATCCCCTCTGTTTAACTTTTTAACTTAATCTTGGTTACCAAGTTACTTAAGGAGCAGAGTAGAAGAATTACTCCCCCTCCTACAAACGTGATTAACCTGTTTTAGCTTACTTTTCCTAAAATCTCCAGGGCAGTGCCAGCTGGAGGATGGGGACAAGCCACAGACAGGAGGAAGAGAACAGCGTAGGGAAGGGAAGGGAAGCAGGTGACCACGGGGAGGGTGTGACAGTCAAGCTGGATGCGGAGCCAGAGCTCAGGTTCCTCTGTTCACACAAACCAGGTGAAGAATGAGCTCACAGGGTAGAGTTTGAGGGCTCTTATCTCTTTTTTATCGTGTCACTTTTTTCTGTCCTTCAAGGGCACAGAGAAGAAAACACAGAAGACACAAATAATTCAAGGCCACATGCATGGGACCGGGGCAGCCTGCCAAGCTCTTCTTTCGTTCCTTCTCTAATCATTCATTCCCTAAAGCTGATAGAAGCCTTCGGGATTAGAGCTTCAACTGTGGTCATCGAAGCCCACCAGGATGCCACCACAGACCACAGACTGGCCCCACCGTTCTCTTCCTCCCCCAGCCTTCCCCTCAGTGCCACTGTTGGGAGCTCTTTCTGTGTCTCCAGGGGCTCTCAGATAACCAGGGTCCCTGGTGAATTCCCGGCAAACACAGATGCACCATGTCGTTTGCATGAGTGTCGCTGGCCCTGGCTGCTGGGGCGGGCTGGCCTGCTGCTTGGTGCAACATCCATCAGTCACTTCTGCCAAGGCCCCTACTCTGTCCTGACCCCTGGTGGAGGTCATGGGGTTGGGGCACTGGGACTGGGATAGGAGATGAACATGACAGCTTTTAGGAAGAAGGTATCTTGGTTTCCTCCAGAAAAACCCTTCCATTTCTTTAAACCCACCACAAGCCACTTTGAGGGGACTGCCTGAGCACCCCATGTTCCCCATCGACCTCCCCTCTTTGCCCTCCCACTGACTCCCCGACCCCCGGCGGGCGCAGGTCGGTACTCACGCTGCTGGGGTGGAGGACGGGCAGAGGCAGCAGCAGGAGCGGGACGCAGACGACCAGCAGCAGCTTCCGGGCTCGGAGCAGGCCCTGCAGCAGGCCCATCGCGCCGCTGTCCTCTCCAGCTCGTCCTCGGACCCCGCTCTGCCGGCGAAGGGCTTCCTCCCTGGGCACTGCTCTCTATCCAGAAAGACTTCTTAAACCTTTCTTGGCTTCCAAGAGTCCTCCTTCGTCTTGGGGGCAGAACTGGAGGGCAGTTATACCCTCGCTGTTTCTACAAGAGGCTGGGCTCCCGGCCTCCTGCTTTAGGTGGGATTGATGAGCATCGTTTTGTGACCAGCAAAAAGGAACTGGGAAAGGATGATAAACGGGGGCATAGTGGGCCTTCTCTCGGCTTGATTAGTAATAGAGTAACTTCATTCTAGGTGTCAGCAAAAACCCTCTTAATCCATTAAACCACACCTTTGCTGCTGCTGCTCGGCCTTGAAAAAATCATTTAAAAGCTTAAAAACATGAAAAACGCTCAGAGCATATTGTGCTCTTCATCAGTTTTCCTCACTCTGATGACCTATTTTGGGGAGTCCTTGTTTCATCTCCTACCTGGGCTCCCTGTTCGTAAGAATCTAGTAGCCCCTTTCCTTAAAACAAGCACCTGAGCTTGTCAGAGTTGCAGGCGGACTTCAGGTAGGGCTGCTGGTCGCTCCCAGGACCTGGTACCTTAACTCTGTTCACATGTCTTTCCCTCAGATTGGTTCCCTACTTATAATTTGCCTTGAGCCTGGGCCTCCAAAGCAGAAAAGAAAAGTCCCCACGACATTCCTTTTTATCAAAGGACAAAAACTTACTGGAGGCCCACCTTTAACTTTCATCCACCAATGGGAGGCCGGGACAGAGGCAGTAGCTCCGCCCACTCCTCAAAGCCAATCAGCAAATTGAAAAGAAAGAGTTAATTTCTCTCCCCGAGGCCGCTCTTGATTGGTCACAGCGGGGGCTTGCTGATTCCGCAGAACCTAGGCAGCCTGCTAAGCTTATTTTTCAGTTTCTCCAACTTCCTACGGCTGGAGTGATGACCATCATAGTAAACATAATCTCACGTACCCAAGCACAGCTTTATTGTTTCGGATCATAGGACACAGAGCTTTCGCTGGGAGGGCCACCTGCTGATCTAGACCTTAGGAAGGGAATGTGCCTGGTGGCAGGGAGAAAATGCAACATTCCTTCTGGAGAATTTGCCTCAGAGTGTACAAAGTTAAGCCTTTCAGACTTGCCTGCTGGCAAACATCGTTTGCCTCAGCACCAGGGGGGAATATAAAGGGTCTAGGCCAGCCGAGGGTATGAGCCCGTGAGAAAGACTCCAGATCTTTTGGGAAGTACAGCTGCCTCCCTGGCAAAGTCTAGATGCCAGTCTCATGCCCAGATGTCAGTGGACTCTCTGGCTAAAGTAGGTGCTCAAATGCTTCTCTCTGAGGCTCTCCAAAAAGGAAACCGAAGCCCTTCTTTTGTTGGTTACAAAAGGAGGAGGTGGGAGGGCAGGGAAGAAGTTGACGAGTTCAGGGACAAGGTCTTAGCTGCAGTTGAACTCTGGAATTTCTCCTGCTTACAGATTGGAAGAAGTTGTTAGCTTCTTTTCTCAGAACGGACATGTGGATTTGGGGCAAGGAAGAAAAGCAAAAGCAAAAGCCCAAACATTCTGTAAGTAGTGGTTCCTGGCAACATGACCTTACCTTGATCTGGGAGATGCTGAGCAGAGTCAAAGGGTTATAAAACCCACGTTGTCTTGAATTCACAGAACACAGGAATGGCGTTCCAAGATCTGCAGCTATACTACTTGGAAATGATCCCCAGGCTAAAGTGACCAGGGAAGTCACCCAAAAAACAAATTCTTCTTGACTTTTAAAGCAGGTGCAACTGTGGACAGCCCAGGTCCCCTTTGAAATTATCTTGCCATCGTAGGATGGGCTAGGATGACTCAACTCTTTAAATGCATGTTAAAGACTGGCTACTGTATTTACTACATTCTGGCCTCATTTTTTTGGTTATGATTTTGAAACTCAGAATGAACAATACCACGTGTGATGTTTTGGTCGCAAACATTAAAGACACCGGATAATTATAAGCAGCTGTGGAAGTCAACATCCACTGTTAAACCCATGAACCATTTCAAATTCCTCAGTGAGATACTCTGAGATAACAAAGATTCCGGTGAGCAACTCAATCATGACATTTTTATTATACCATAGACGAATATTTGTTAAATAAAAATAGGTACAGCAAGTGATACAATAACACCAGTAGTTCTCCTTCAGAACTCTACCCATTTTTCAGAGGAAGGAAACACTTTTCCAGAATACAATGCTCAAGAAATGTAAGCCAGATCCCACTTGTATGAGGTATCTTAAGTAGTCAGACTCTCAAAAACAGAAAGCAGAATAATGGCACCAAGAGCTGGGGCAGGCAGGGGGAAGGGGGAAAGGGGAGTTGTTCAATGGGTATAGAGCTTCAGGATTACAAGATGAGAAAGTTCCGGGGGTCTGTCGTACAGCAACATTCATGGAGTTAACACTGCTGTATTATATGCTTAAAAATGGTTAAGATGGTAAATTTTACGTGATGTGTTTTTTACCACAATAAAAAAAAATAAGATATTGAAATGGATTAGGAAAGTAAGGGGTGTTGTACAAAATAATTTAACAAGCATTTAATTTTAGACTGTTGGACCTGCAGAAATGCTTTGATTTGTTAGATTCAAGGTGAGGTGACAGAGCAATGAAGGTTTCAGCAGTTAAATGTTTGTTGATGTCTCTTGAGTGACACTGGAGATAGTTGTGAGGATGCCAGCGATGGAGGAAACGTAGAAAGTTTTTAGATTGTGGGCCGGGTGCGATGGCTCACGCCTGTAATCCTAGCACTTTGGGAGGCCAAGGCAGGCAGACCACTTGAGGTCAGGAATTTGAGACCAGCCTGGCCAACATAGTGAAACCCCATTTCTGCTAAAAATACAAAAAAAAATTAGCAGGGCATGGTGATGTACACCTATGGTCCCAGCTACTTGGGAGGTTGAGGTGGGAGAATCGCTTGAACCCTGTAGGCAGAGGCGCCACTGCACTCTAGCCTGAGGACAGAGAGAGACTGTCTCAAAAAACAAACAAACAAAAACAAAACAAAAAAACCCACAAAGTTTTTAGATCCTAAAATTTGTCAGCAGAAATGGTTACATAAGTCATGGGCAAGTTTCCACTGTAAACATCACACTCCCATATTATTCTAATAGTAATTATAACCAAATGTGACCCCTTCATGACTGTAGTTGTGTAGAGTGTGGCACTAATGAGGCAAAATAGGAGACCCTGTTTGTCTGTCTAGTCTACATTTCTACTGTTCCTTGGGCAAAGAATAGGGTTCTCTGGCTGCTGGTGGTGATCATAGTATTCGATTCTGCGTGTCAATGAAGTCATTGTTATAAAACTGTGGGTAACCAATTATCTGCATTCAGATTAAAATAGTTTTTAGGATTCTAGTTACTGAAAAGTAACTAGAGTCTTCATCTGTCTTTAAAAAGGTCATGTCCTTCTTTTTTCTATTTTTTTTTTCAGTCATTGATTGCCACAGAAATTCAGGCCCCAATTTGTGTTTAATTTTTTTGTTGCTGGGTGAATGTTCCTGGGAACCATCCTCCCATTCATGGATTTCTTAACTACTGGGAGCAGCCATCTACATAACATGGTGGTCAGGGACTACAGGGTGGGCCTTTCTATCTGATGATTCTGAGTACAAGAAAGTTTTCAGGGCCGGGCGCGGTGGCTCAAGCCTGTAATCCCAGCACTTTGGGAGGCCGAGGCAGGCGGATCTCGAGGTCAGGAGATCGAGACCATCCTGGCTAACATGGTGAAACCCCGTCTCTACTAAAAAATACAAAAAACTAGCTGGGCGAGGTGGCAGGCGCCTGTAGTCCCAGCTACTTGGGAGGCTGAGGCAGGAGAATGTCGTAAACCTGGGAGGCGGAGTTTGCAGTGAGCTGAGATCTCACCACTGCAGTCCAGCCTGGGCAATAGAGCGAGACTCCGTCTCAAAAAAAAAAAAAAAAAAAAAAAAAAAGAAAGTTTTCAGATCCATTGTCAAGGGAGTGGAGCCTCAGGGCGGGACACTGACTATCAGGGTGTTGCACAGTGTCTAGGGACTGAGGCCATTGCTAATCCACTCCCCACCTGACATCTAGGAAAAATACAAACAGTGAAGGTAGGCTACCATGTTTACCTGCCTCTGGGCGATCCCAACACTGTCTGTACACTGACTTTTGCTTTATTTAAACAATGATACCCAGAGAAGACTGACAGAGAGTGAGTGTTAGAGTGTGGGTCAGCAGAGATAGAGCAAAAGTCAAGCAGAAGAGTCTTGCAGATGCATCGAAAAACAGACACAAAGATATATGGAATTGGGCCCAAATACAGAGCAGCAGAGCTACCAACTAAAATAAAACAAAGAAAGAAAGAGACAAGCAGAGTGACCGTGTCAGAGAGAACATGTACATTTAGAAAGAGAAAGATTGAACAAAAAAAGCATATATCAGAATCTGTATTTGAAGGAGGTAAAAGAGCAGTATGGTCAAGGAATGAGAGAGAGAGACTGAGACTTACTAATCTTCTGAGCCTGAGAATATCAGGATGCAAAACTGTGTTTTTCTCTGATGATGAATACCTTCTTCCTGCATCCCAGTATTTCTCCAAAAAGATCATGCAGGTAGCACTGCTAGGCAAAGCTTATTTGCTCAAAGATTTTGAAGGAGTCCAGACCTCATCATTATCAAATGACAATTGTTAAATACCCATTTCAGAATCAAATTTAGCCCAATAAATCCTCACTCATTCAAAGATCAGACTTATTGCAGCTTTAGCTTGCAGAACACAGCCGTAAACTTAGGAGAAGCCAGAAAGATCTCTGAGCTAATGAGGAATCCTCATTAGGACCCAGATACTCAACCCCTAGCAGAGGCCTTCATCTATTAACTCTTATTTAACATAGAATTATAACAAGCCTGGCTATCTTAGTTTGTAGGCGATGGCCAGCTAAGAAAGAACAGACTGTGAAGGGCAAGTTGTATTGGCAACAAAGAAAAATATGCTCTAATAGTCTGACAGTGAGGGAGACAGCAGAAAAACTCAGAACTGAACACAGAATGAGGAGTCTGGGACCTCTCAGCGTCGGTACAAACAGTTGAGCAGACTTCTTAGGTCCAGGTGCTCTCCTTATAGCATCTCACAGTTAAACGATTGTAGAAACTTCATAGGTAGGAGTCTTAGAGATTATCTTATCCAACTCCTTCATTAGAATATTTAAATGATGATATGGCCGGGTGCAATGGCTTGCACCTATAATCCCAACACTTTGGGAGCCCGAGGCAGGTGGATCACTTGAGGCCAGAAGTTTGAGACTAGCCTGGCCAACATGGCAAAAAACCGTCTCTACTAAAAATACAAAAATTAGCCATGTGTGGTGGTGCACGCCTATAGTCCCAGCTACTCGGGAGGCTGAGGCAGAAGAATCACTTGAACCCGGGAGGCAGATGTTGCAGTGAGCCGAGATAGTGCCACTGCACTCCAGCCAGGACGACAGAGCGAGACTCCATCTCTCTCATATCTCTCTCTCACACACACACACACACACACACACACACACACACACACACAAGAATGTTTAAATGATGATCTTACACTAAACAAAAACTTAAGGTGATATGTATGTATAGTTTAAATAGATATCGAGTCAATATCTCTAAAAGGAAAGTTTTGGCCTTTGAAAGGGTAGAATTCTGTCATCTGAAAATCATTTTTATTTGGAGCATTTAGTGCTCTGATGATGCTAAATTATTTTCACATGAAGACAGACAGGCATGGGCCTTCATGCCACCTTGTTCGTTGGGAGACTCTTTCTGCATTAGCTTGGTTTTACTATTCAAAGACAAAGTATGGCTGGACTGGGCTGTGGGCCCCTTCCTGTTTCTCTTCTGTGTTAAGCCAGCTTTCAAAAAAGAAGAGTTCAGACATAAAAGTCATAAAATTACTGATTTTCTAATGGATTCTTCTTGGCAGCTTTTGGAAAAGTCAAGAAGTATATCCTTGGCAAATAATATATTTATTTGGGTATATCTCTAGTTTCTTTATATTTACTATAGAACCTCTGGAAAAATGTTCATTCATCCCAGCACCCTAGTCCCTTAGGACGGAAGGAATCTGTCCCCCATCTTCCTGCCATGATGTCTCCTTTAGCTCTTTCCTCAATCCTTTTTTAATTTTTTTTTTTTTTTCTTGAGACAGAGTCTCACTTTGTTCCCCAGGCTGGAGTGCAGTGGCATGATCTCAGCTCACTGCAACCTCTACCTCCTGGGTTCGAATGATTCTCCTGCCTCAGCCTACTGAGTAGCCAGGATTGCAGGCATGCGCCACCGTGTCTGGCTGATTTTTGTGATTTTAGTAGAGATGGGTTTTCACTGTGTTGCCCAGGTTGGTCTTGAACTCCTAACCTCAAATAATCCTCCCATCTCAGCCTCCCAAAGTGCTGGGATTACAGGCATGAGCCGCTGTGCCCGGCCTGTCTTCACTCTTGAGTGTGTGTGGCTGGTGCTCTGGGTTGAAGCATATCAGACTTCTGCCTGCCACAGGCAACCCATTCTGCCCATGGAGGCATCTTGAATTACTACTCCAGCCCTTCCAGGTCACATGATGGCATGAATCAGATGTGTCTTCCAGGAAACTACAAGGAGAAAAGAGCATCGGGGTTACTGTGTTTGATCTCTGCTGCTCTGTGTCAGCGGTACGTGTTTTGTTGCCGGTCTCTGTAAATGGAGTAGAGAATGAAGACTTTCTGGATTACTGTGCTGGTCCCTGTTCCGAGGTCCTGGTGTGGGCCAGTCTCTCAGGGAGGTACTCCCGGCTGTGAGGAGCGCATCAAGTCATGCCTCAGGGCCTGGAAGAGGCTAACGAGGGACTGCGCCCAGATGTCCTTCTGATAGCCATGGGACAGGGCTGTGCGGTAGGCTGCATAGGCTAGGGTCAGCACTGTCCTTTCAAAGTCTTCTTTCTTGAGGATGCCAGGGTGGCTGGAGAGGCTGGCGCTGAGCCGGCGGATGTCTGGGATGCTCTTGGGGATGACATTGTTGCAGACGGTGCGGAAGTCCGAGGCCTTCCGCAAGGAGGCCAGCTCCTCGTCCTTGATGGAGATCTGCAGGTCAGGGCTGATCTCAAGTTCGGCCAGCAGGAACTGGTGAGAAACGTGAATGTGCAAAAATATGAAGTGGGGCATTGCTGAGGACACAGTTGTATTCATTATCACGCACCTTCCCTTAGGGAGGCAGCTGCCAGAAGAGCTTTGGAACCCAAGAGACCTGAGTTCCAGTTGTGACTTTCTCACTTGCTCTGTGATCTTGGACAAGTTACTTAACTTCTCTGAGCCTCACTTTCCTTCTCTGTGTAAATAATTAGTAACAGCATCTACTTCACTGGGATATTGTGAGAGGTAAATAAGACAAATATGGACAAAGCTAATACAGTGCCTGGTTCAAAACCAGTATTTAAGGGACTAATTATAGTTTCTAGTGTCCTGGATAAATTCCTTCTTCCCTTTCTTTCTCCCACCCAACAAAGATCATCTAAAGCATCAACTATTTCAGATAATTTTAAGACAGAAGCTGGGAGACTCTTTCTGCATTAGCTTGGTTTTTCTATTCAAAGACAAGGTGTGACTGGATTGGGCTGTTGGTCCCTTCCTGTTTCTCGTCTGTGTTAAACCAGCTTTCAAAAAAGAGTTCAGACATAAAGGTCATAAAATTACTGATTTTTTTTTTTTTTTTTTTTTTGAGATGGAGTCTCACTCTGTCACTCAGGCTGGAATGCAGTGGCACGATCTCAGCTCACTGCAACCTCCACCTCCCGGGTTCAAATGATTCTCCTGTCTCAGCTCCCCAAGTAGCCGGGATTACAGGCGCCCGCCACCATGCCCGGCTAGTTTTTCGTATTTTTAGTAGAGATGGAGTTTCACCATGTTGGTCTGGCTGGTCTCGAAAACTCCTGACCTCAGATGATCCCCCAGCCTCGACCTCCCAAAGTGCTGGGATGACAGGCATGAGCCACTGCGCCGAGTCAAATGACTGATGTTCTAACTGATTCTTCTTGGCAGCTTTTGGAAAAGTCAAGAAGTACATCCTTGGCAAACAATCTATTTATTTGGGTATAGCTCTAGTTTCTTTATATTTACTATAAGACCTCTGGAAAAATGTTCAGAGTTTGAAGGATGCAGAGGATTGTGCTAGGAATCAAGTGGGATACAGACGTTTGCCCTTTTCTCTCACCTGCCCACTAAGCATAGGAGCTGGGTCTGCCATGCACTTCCCTGCGTAGTGCCAGGCTCACAGTCGGGACGGAATGACTCCAAATCCTAACTCTTCTCTCTGTCTCCGTCTTCCCCTGCCCTAGTTCATCCTCCATGGCACTGTCTATGATCTTTCTGAAATATAGATCTCTTCGTGTGACTCCCATGTTCAAGACTAGGCAAAGACTCTGCATTTCCCAGTCTGGTTCCCAAGGCAGGATTTGAAATCTCTCCTGACTTAACTACATGGCTACAGCAAGTTATCTCTTATTTTATTTTATTTTTTTGAGATGGAGTCTTGCTTTGTCGCCCAGGCTGGAGTGCAGTGGCATGATCTGAGATCACTGCAACCTCCACCTGCCGGGTTCAAGGGATTCTCCTGCCTCAGCCTCCCAAGTAGCTGGGATTACAGGTGCACGCCACCACGCCCGGCTAATTTTTGTATTTTTGGTAGAGATGGGGTTTCACCATGGTGGCCAGGCTGGTCTCGAACTCCTGATCTCAGGTGATCCACCTGCCTCAGCCTCCCAAAGTGCTGGGATTACAAGCACGAGCCACTGCACCTGGCCCAGCTGTCTCTTTCTTAACCAGACAGTCCTAGTGCATGGAGTCAGAGGATGTCACAGCTGGAGGGGAATTTTGGACAGCATAGTTGGATTCTCTCATTTAACAGATGAGGAGAGTCAGGCCCAGAGAGAAACTATGGCTTATGCAAGGTGGCACAGCGGACGGGTGACAGAGCCAGGACTAAAGCTCAGATCTCGAGCCTGGAATCATAACACTGAACCAATCTGGGTGGCCTTGGGAAACTGACCCTGTGGTTTGGAGGAGGCGTGGGGTCTCAGTGATGCAAGGTGAGAGGCAGTGCAAGAGAGCTGGCAGGGTGGTCCGTGGCTTCCAGAAACCCAGCTGGGCTGGCGGCTCATCCAGACAGCACTGCTGTCACCGCACGCGGGGCCTTGGAGACATGGCTGCACCCAGACAACAGCTTGGCATTTCCTGGCAAGTCCTGCCTCGAGGCCTTTGCTTGGGAATTTTGCCACATTCCGCTGCCTGGGCGCCAGGATTGATGCCTATGGGCCAATTCTCATTTTAATTTAAACTGAACTGAACTCCTAACGCCATCATTCTCTGTTATAGCATGTGGGAAAGACAGGAGGCATGAGGAATACTTTATGAATGAGCAAGAATCTGTGACCTCTACAAATTAGGCTAGTCCCTACCACAGCAGGGGTCACTCATGGTCAGGGGCTCAGGTCACTCCTCCTTTTCCAAAAAAGAGAGAGAAAGTGCAGTGCCTTTTGGGTGACTTGGATTGAGCACATTCCCCTCTGCCTACCTCGAAGAGCAGCTCCACCTCCTCCAGGGAGGTCTGCAGGACTGGGTTCAATGGCAGTGATGAGGACCTCTTTGGCCGGTGGGCAGCAGGGAAGAGCACGGCTGAAAGAAAGAAAACAGTGAGTTCCTGGCTGCTGTGTGCACCCAGAACTTTTCCCTCTGATCCACCTGCGGGGTAGTCAAGGAGTCTTAAAAATGGACTGACTTGGCCAGGATTGGTGGCTCACGCCTGTAATCCCAGCACTTTGGGAGGCCGAGGCGGGTGGAACACTTGAGATCAGGAGTTCGAGACCAACCTGGCGAACATGGTGCAACCCCGTCTCTACTAAAATTACAAAAAAATAGCCAGACGTGGTGGCAGGTACCTGTAATTGCAGCTACTTGGAAGGCTGGGGCAGGAGAATCGTTTTAACACGGGGAGTGGAGGTTGTAGTGAGCCAAGACTGCGCCATTGAACTCTAGCCTGGGCAACAGAGCAAGACTCCATGTAAAAAAAAAAAAAAAAAGGACTGACTTGAAAGTGGTGGTGGACATAGAGTAAGGAGAGAGGTGACACACCCCCCTGGTGTGGCCTAAAAAGCTCTCAGGCATGCCAGACCAGTGGCTGAAAAACTGGCTGCTCATCAGAACCATCTGAGAAAACGAGAAAAGAAAAGAAAAGAAAAAGAAAAAGGAGGAACCATTTGAGAAAGTTTTGTAAAATCTATATGCCTAGGGATACACATGCCTTAGGGAATTTATATTAAACCAAAGCAAAATAAAGCAAAGCAGAAATGATGAGCAAACAAAAAGCTCCAAAGTCAATGAGTGAGTTCCCTGAAAACACTGTTCCCTGATAGCACAGCACACATCTTAGCATGTTACCACTATGAAGTGCTGGTTTATGCCCTTTTAAATCAGAAGATCAGGCTTCTGGCTACCTCAGGCGCATCCAAAATATAGCTGCCAAGAATCTGAACACAGGTGACAAAATAAAGGAAGAGAGCTGCACAAGACCCTGGCCCTTGGATCTAGGGCATCATTGTGGGGTCAAGCTCAGAGCTTTCCCCAAGGGCTGGCTGATTTTTTTGTTTGTTTGTTTGAGATGGAGTCTTGCGCTGTCACCCAGGCTGGAGTGCAGTGGCACAATCTTGACTCACTGCAACCTCTACCTCCTGGGTTCAAGTGGTTCTCCTGCCTTAGCCTCCCAAGTAGCTGGGATTACAGGTGCGTGCCACCATGCCCGGCTAATTGTTGCATTTTTAGTAGAGACAGAATTTCACCATGTTGGCCAGGCTAGTCTTGAACTCCTGACCTCAAGTGGTCTGCCTGCCTTGGCCTCCCAAAGTGCTGGGATTATAAACATGAGCTACCGCACCCAGCCAAGGCTGGCTGATTTAGGAATGCATTTAGTATAAAGTCAGTGACTTGACAAGGCTGTTCCCCAGTGGTTGCATGTAGAAGTGGTAACTGGAGGAAGATGAATGGCTACTAGAGGTACACAGGATAGCAAGAATTAGGCACTGGCTGGGGTCAAGTGAGGGAGAAGACAGAACATCAGAGGGTATAGGAAAGATCATTATAAATTACAGTTCTCCATGACCACGTCAGGCTAGGAGCAAATAGCCCTGGTCACCTCCACGGACCCTCTGGGGAGCAGGCACTGTGCAGAAATGATCGGCAAGCCCTCTGCCAGCTGATAGAAAAAGGTACAGCTTCTTTAAGACACTTGATTGTGATCTACCAGAAAACTGGGGAAATAACGGTAAAAGTCAAGACTATAAGGTGTTGGCACCTCCTGAAGTTGCACAGGCATATTTTGCTTAATCATACATGGCAGCTCTGCTAGTTGATAATAGTGCCCTTGAGCCACCGAGAAAAGGTCAAATTATGTTCAGTGTACACAGTTAAAGAAGGCAGGCTGGGCGTGGTGGCCCTATAATCCCAGCACTTTGGGAGGCCAAGGCGGGCAGATCACATGAGACCAGGAGTTTGAGACCATCCTGATCAACATGGTGAAACCCCATCTCTACTAAAAATACAAAAATTAGCTGGACATGGTGGTGCGTGCCTGTAATCCCAGCTACTTGGGAGGCTGAGGCAGGAGAATTGCTTGAACCCGGGAGGCAGAGCTTGCAGTGAACCGAGATTGTGCCACACTGTATTCCAGCCTGGCGACAGAGTGAGACTCCATCTCAAAAAAAAAAAAAAGAAAAAAAAGAAAGGCAGAGAAGGATGGAAATCATTTTAGAAAGATTTCCATCAGAAGTGATAAAAACAACAACAAAAAAGGAAACATCTTTAACTTAGAGGAACTTTCTTGTAAAGCTCACTTGTGGGGATCTCCCATGTCCCAGAAAAGCCTGATGGATGTATCATAGTATTGCTATAAATTACTTTCTTAGTAACTCATTTATGATCGATACCACAAGTTCCTCAAAGGCTGGGATCCATATAGTTTTATATTTCTGTACTCATGGCAGAGCCTGGCAGGCTTCTGGGATGTGTGCCAGGCATAGCTGTTGATGACCAAATCCCTGCACTAATGGTCGCCTCGGCCAGCAGAGTGACCAGCTCTGTTTTGCCAGACCATGCTCGGGGAAGAAGCCATCAGCTCCATGGCAGTATTCACTAGCCCAGCATTTCAACAGAGTCTGCCAGAAAAGAGCCAGTTTCCCACAGATTCATAGATTTCATGGCTTGAGGAAGCCTTTGCCCCTGCTCATCCACTGCCAGTGCCTGTAGTGTCAGGTGGAACGCAGGAGAGCGAGGTGTCTGTGATGCCACTAGTTCACACTGTTAGAGTCACCAAAGCGGTTTCTTGGATCTGGCTCCAGAGTTCTGATTTAACTGAACCAGAGTGCAACCAACACATTATGATTTCATAAAGCTTCCTAAGTGCTTCTAATGACAGCCAAGGTTGAGAACCACTGTCCTAGTGAGAGTGAGCTTGACCTGAAATTGTGTGGAAGACGCGGACCCTAGGCTGTGTGGCCGCTCTCTGGTTAGACCGGTGGTTCCCAGCCGTGACTAGACATTCGATTCATCTGGGCACTTTTAGAAACCCGAATACCCAAGACCACACTCCAGGCCAATCTGTGGGCATCTCTGGGAGTGAAACGTAGGCACTGGGACTTTTTCCAGCTCCCGGGCTCCAGTAGGCAGCCAGATCTGTGTTATCCACATCACAGGCCGATGGTGTCCTTCTACCATAAAACAATTCAGAGTTCTTGCCTATCTGATGGGGCCTTACAAGGCCAACTGAAGAGACCAAGGTCATCACGTTCTTGGAGGTGAGGAGTACAGGCACAGAGAGGGCATGGGCTTTGTCTCTGCTTTCTCCTTGGTATGAGATGAGTTGGTCTTAGGTCAAGGTGTGCCTGTTTCTTTCTTCATGCTCTTCTTTTCTTCCCGCCAGGAAGAAAGGGGGTGGATGAAACCCCCTTCTTAGGATAGGATCTAAGAGCGACTTTACTTCTTTAATTCTGCTAGAATTTATCTCTTATTGCCAAATTAAAGGTATTGTTCCCTTAAAAAAAAAAAAACACACACACACACACAAATAAAACAAAACAAAACAAAACCCTCAGTCCCAGCAGATGAAGGCGATAGGGAGGGAATGTCAGGGCGTGGAGCCCTTTCTCTCCCTGTAATCACAGCCAGCCTGTGGCTGCCTGCCTGGAAGTTATTCATGATCTTAGACCTGGACTTTCTTCACTCAATTGTTGCCCTGCGAACAGCAGCATGCCTTTAGCATGCTCACGCCAGGTGGACCCCTAGTTCTCAAAGAGCCAAGAAGAAAATACTTCCTGATTCAAAGCTGAGCTTGATAATGGAAACTCTGTCATTTCCAATAGCTCTTGGTATCCTACTGAATAATAACATAGTTTGGTAGAGACTTAGACATAGCTTCAGCCTTCAGACAAGGGGAATGGCTATTGCTTTAGGATGTAAGTTTGTACCAGGCACGGCAGCTCACACTTGTAATCTCAGGACTTTGGGAAGCTGAGGCGGGTGGATAGCTTGAACCCAGGAATTTGAGACCAGCCTGGGCAACAAAGTGAGACCCGTCTCTACTAAAAATAAAAAGAATTAGCTGGGCATGGTGGCACATGCTTGTGGTCTAAGCTACTTGGGAGGCTGAGGCAGGAGGATCAATTGGTCCTGGGAGGTCAAGGCTGCAGTGAGCTGTGATTAGCCACTGTATGCCAGCCTGGGTGACAGAATGAGACCCTGTCTCAAAAAAAAAAAAAAAAAAAAAAAAAGAAAAGAAAAAGCCAAGCAAATGGGAGAAAGCATTTCCAATGAATGTAACTGATAAGGATCAATATCTAGAAGCTAAAAAAGAGGTCCTACCAATCAATTTAAAAAGTAAAAAATCAGAATGTATGTGTGGGAAGCACAGGAATCTTAAAGATGGGTCTCTCTCCCTCCCTTCCTCACCCCCACCCCTGTACTGGTCCACCAACTCTAGCAGTGCTGCCCCTCACATTTCTGTGGCTGCTTTGACCTTGTGCATTGGGCAGGGGTAGGGAAGGTTATGCCCCTTAGGCTGCTGGAGCGCAGCCAGCTCTAGGGCAGACATCTCAGTGGTTCAGCAGTCACCCAGATCTGACTCCCTGTGTGAGGCAAGACCTAGAGGGAATCTCCACTGGAGAGGCTGGAGGTGGTGGGTGACAAATAGCTCTATCTGATCAATGTCAAAACACAGAGGTCAAATTTCACAATGTACAGTCACTCCAAGATGTTCTTGTCCATAATGACAAAGGCTGGACCCCACCAGAAATGCTGATGGCCGAAACAAGGGCTGGCAAACTCCAAGATGTATATGTGCAAAGCTGGGAACTAGACTTGCTCCTACATTTTAGAAAATCCTGTTTCCGCAGGAAGACTTTCCTGGGAACCCCACTGTACCTGGTGGTTTTCCTTCTCTACCTCTATCTTTCTTCATCCAGGCCGCATGTTTTGCATCTTGCTGCACACCACCCTGAACCGTTTCATCAGGGTTGCCAGGTCCTGGGAGGGAGCGAATGGGCTGTGTGCAGCCTCTGCCTCACCTCTGTGTGTGTGTAATGCAGTGCCCTAGGTGCAGTCTCCGGATACATTTTGGAATGATTTAAGAA